TATTATCATATGAAAGCATGAAATATTGCAGTCTATAATATTTAACTGTTTTCTGAATTGTAACTGTAACAATATACAATTTTTGTTTGAGATGTGGTCTTCCTAGAAACCAATGTTTTAGCCTCAGCTAGAGCCAAGACTTCAGAATTTTAAAGAAAAGCATATTTCATAAGTTAAAGGTGCAGGTCCCTTAAGACAAGTTCTATTTTGGTGTCTACATTTACAATAGCTGAGACTGTCACAATCATTCACCTTCATCATTAAAAAGCCATATAAAGTTTCTTTCTCCTCCAAAGTTAGAATGTTGAATGTTGGCCTTGTAGACTAACTTTCTATAAGTCCTTTAAAGTTTATGTCCAGAGGTGTCGAGGTCAGGGGACCAGGAAGACAAGGTCAAATCTTAGTGCTAGCATTCCCACCCCCAAACTCATCCTTTTTCAAAATTAGTTATGAACTGCAATACTTTTTATAAGCCCACAATGGGCACTTTGGGAATAACCATTTATGAGTTAAATAAAGATCGGTTTTGAAATGGTGGAAATAGGAAGTGGCAGCGAGTCACGCCTATGTGAGCCTCCAGCCGGGCCTCTCCAGATTATCTCTGGTTCAAACATATGGGTTCCTCGAGAGCACAGGGTCTGTGTGTGCCCCAGGCACCCCATATGCCGGTGTTTGAGGAGGAGATTTGCTGCTTCCGAAAGACCTTCAGCACCTGCCATGCTGCTCTGTCGTGAGACGCCCTCTAGAGGTGGAACTGGGGAAAACCACTGCGCCTTCAAGCCCCTGCAGACCTGGAGCGCTGTGAGAGGTGGTGGTGTTAGGAAAACACCCAGCTGCCAGCCACTAACAGGAGTAGATTCTAGCAGCCAATGCTGTAGAAACCCAACTTGGAGCTACCAAAGGAAATAGTCCCATCAAGTTAACTAACAACCATTAGAAAGCCCTCCAGATGGGAACCATGTCCACAGCTGAGGGCAAACTACAACTGAACCACCGTCACTGTGAGCCCACCAAGGAACCCTGGATGATAGGACCTCTGTCCAGCCCTCCTGCCATCGCCTTCCCTAAATAAGACAGGCATTCAAGGGAACAATGGCAAATATTGGCCCTTCCATACATTCTAAGCCAAGAGGAAAGAAGAATAATTTCCTGCCAGTAAATCTGGTATAATTAAAGACAAAACTCTCAGTGTGGGCTTTGGATAAAAGATCTTGAATTGTAACTTTACTTTCAAACTCTCAATAATTATAGTTGCATCCACCATTCTAAGTATTCTATATGTATTCAGTCACTTCATCCAATAACTCTATGAGGTAGGTCCCATTATTACATCCATTTTACTGATGAGGAAAAGTTAAGTACACAAAACTTAATTGCCTAAGGTTGCTAATTTGTAAATGGTGAACATGGGCAGATGACTCCAGAGCTATGTTCTTAACCACTATTTATACGGTGTAGTATACAGGAAAAAAATGGCCCCTAAGGATCGCTTTAACCCAGGAGTCTGAGTTTGCTTTGTGCTTGGCTGATGCCACAGCACTGTAGCCTGGGTAACAGAGCAAGACTCTGTCTCAAAAAAGAAAAAAATGGCTCCCTAAAAAATCCTAATTTCCAGAACCGTGAGTATGTTACATTACATGGCAAAAGACACTTTGTGGATATGATGAAATTGAGGACCTTGAGATGAGGAGATTAGCCTGGATTGTCCAGATGGGCCCAGTGTAATCACATAAATCCTTAAAAATGGAGAATGTTTTCCAGCTGAAGTCACAGGGAGATGTGAAAAAATAAAAATGTTCAGAGAGATGTACCATTTCTGGCTTTAAAGATGGAAGAAGGGGATCCTGAGCCAAGGAATGTGGACATTTCCTAGAAGCTATAGGACACAGGGAAATGGATTCTCTCTTGAGATTTCCAATGAGAACGCAGCCCCCCTGCCAACACCTTTATTTCAGCCCCGTGAGACCTGTGTTGGGCTGCTAACCTGCAGAACTGTGATACAATATTCATGATGTTCTAAGCCCCTACATCTGTGGGAATTTGTTACAGCACTGAGAGAAAACTAATACAGACGGCCTCCCTGAGAAAGAGAGTTTGGAGGTGTTTCTCCCTTGGGCAAGACGCTTTCACTATTATTTGGGGGTCTTGGCTGTTTCGCCAGTTTTGAATGTAATAGATGATAGTTTATCCCACACTTAGCACTCTGCCAAATATATAGAAATTGAACATATTTTAGCTGTTGCTAGCAGTTGTAAAATTGAAAAAAATCTCATTATTTGGATCTTTGATACATACAATGATGGCTTCCTGTTTGGATGTGAAGAGACAAGCTTCCAGACAATACAACAACAAAAAAATACTGCTTAGACTATGCAAAAAACTTTTAAAATATACAGTCTGATGATTCCCCACCAAATTCTGTCATCAATGCCAAAGTATTCTTTGAAGTTTCACAATAAAATGAGTTGATAAAAGGGTGACATTGCTAGAATGAGCTTTTTCAAAACAGCATCCAGTTTTTATATTTTTCATCAATATTCATCATAACAGAGACCACAAAATGGGTTTAGATTTATTCGTTCTCTTTTATATGGCAGTTATTTATATGCACAAATACAGTGAAAAATTGGGGCACTGACCTTTGCAGGCAGTCTTTTGGGAAACATTGCACCTCCACAAATATTGGATGCCACAGACCTTTGTCAGGCATCGCACATTGGTTTCTGCTTCAGCAGGTGCAGGATGCCGGCTGATAAAATATATAATAATATACAGTAAAGACGAAACTAAACCAATGGGCAGGAGTAATCTCTGAGTTGATGAAGCTTATTGATTGGAAAGAAATAATAAAGCTTTAGGAAAAAAGCAATAAATTCCTTGGAAGACTCAGGCCTCCCTAAGAGTAAATGTCGAAGTGTGTCTTCAGAGCAGCAGTTGCGTCCTGCAGAGTATGTGATGGATGAAATTAAACCTGCCACAGACACCACATTTGTACTTTGTCAGCGGTCAGGTGGTGGAGACTCACTGTTCCCTCCCAGCACTGCAGACGTGATGGCTGTAATTCAGCTCCTATGGTCTGGACTCATACAAACGTTATTAAAACTGCTCCTGTACAATGAGCTGAAGAAAGGCAATCAAAATTAAGTGGATAGCAGAGACTTTGACTGCTGAGATTAAAAAAAAGTCAAAGCAACTTCACCTCCTGCAACCAGAGATGTAGTGGCTTATTCTGGGCAGCAGTGTTATTCTGCCTGTTGTACAGAGTCCCCGATAGGAAAAGGGGGGCTACCGGCAGCTGATTATATAGACTGTCTCCTCTGCAGATGGGGTATGACAGCTATGTGCTCAGCAGGGACTATATTTAATGTCATAGCCATTCACTGGTCTGGCAGCTTAATCAGTGATCTTCATCTAATGGCTCTTTTTTAAACAGCTAGTTTTCTTTTTTTTCTTCTGAATTGACCACTTGTGCACCTGAATTGGTTAAAGCATCACTCTTAGTAGTGTCGCCATTACCCTAAACTTTAAGTTTTCATTATATTCTTAATGTTATAAGTAGTGCACAACCATTGTAGAAAAATAAGTAACAAAAAGAAAAGAAAAAATCTGGTGTCCCAGTATAATTGCTGTGGATGTTGAGGAAGGAATTATCTGGAAGGAATTATCTATGCACACTAACACTTACTCCCCCAGCGCTGGCAAAGGCTAAGCCACCGCCTGTTTTTGCCTGTTTCTGACATTTCGTATAAACGGAATCGTATAACACGTGGTCTCTGTGACGAGCTTCTTTCATTTGGCAGAATGTTTTCAAGGTTCATCATGTCTCAGAACTTCATTCTGTATTGCCAAGTAATATTCCATTGTAAGGACACTTCATTTC